GTATTCTTCTTATTGGATGATCCCATTATACATCCGATTGACGTCACACTGTGAAGTATATATGACGTCAGGCCAGAAGTTTGCAAGGTTTTTTATTCTGGAATGTACAGGTTGGCCAAGTGGCCCGATATTGAATATTGTTGTATATTTGACGATAATTAGTGCAAGGAGTATGGAATAACGTACTTTTTCTCTAGATTTTCTTGGTAAAGATGGGGTGATAATTTCTGCCCTTAACTACTACTTTTCTTAAATAGTTTTTTTTTCTGTGTTGTAATTCATGGGGAGTGTGAATGATCAAACATTTTGATTGTATTTATATTATTTTCTAGAAGTGCTAAGTGTATTTTTGGGGACTAGTTACAAGAGGGAGATATTTTTATTTTCTGTAAAATCATTTAGCGGCACTAAATTCCACCACTACTGACCTAGCTGGGCTGACGAGAGTCGACATGTTGCGACTACTTCATTAGTTTATGAAGATGTTCTTACTACTTTGTAGGACTGTTCTTTTAATCAGTGGTACTTTGTAAAACTGTTCTTTTAATCAGTGTTACTTTGTAAGACTGTTCTTTTAATCAGTGCTACTTTGTAAAAATGTTCTTTTAATCAGTGGTACTTTGTAAGACTGTTCTTTTAATCAGTGATACTTTGTAAGACTGTTCTTTTAATCAGTGATACTTTGTAAGATTGTTCTTTTAATCAGTGGTACTTTGTAATACTGTTCTTTTAATCAGTGCTACTTTTTAAGACTGTTCTTTTAATCTGTGATACTTTGTAAAGCTGTTCTTTTAATCAGTGATACTTTGTAAAGCTGTTCTTTTAATCAGCGCTACTTTGTAAGACTGTTCTTTTAATCAGTGATACTTTGTAAAGCTGTTCTTTTAATCAGTGTTACTTTGTAAGACTATTCTTTTAATCAGTGATACTTTGTAGGACTGTTCTTTTAATCAGTGATACTTTGTAGGACTGTTCTTTTAATCAGTGATACTTTGTAGGACTGTT